AAGTATTAAACCAACTTTGACGACGCAGTATGCAGTTAGTTTAGAAACACAGCAGTTCTTTCTTGAAAAGTAACTGATTTCTGCCATCTATTTTTCCTTGTTTATCTACCTGTTACTTTTGAAATACAGTATACAGAATATCATCACATCATTAAATAAAAAATAGTTTATCTATGTCTATTGTAGTTGTGATTAAAAATATTTATGATAAATAAAGAAGGGACTGACTGCGTTCTCTTTTTAATGATCCGTTTTAATCAAGTAACGTTTTACCAGCAGATTTGCTTCCTGATTCAGTAGATGAGGAGTTTGTAAACAGTGTTTTTCAAATCATTAACACCCTTAAATTGCTTTCTGTTATCAACGGACATTGTGTGGAAAAGTCTGAACACTGTAGGTCAGGTCATCTTAGGGGCATCTGATCTGATGATCTGTCAGCGTGGAGATCTATTGAAGTGAAATGCCCCTTTAACATGAGAAACTCCATCAACAGGTTTATCAGCTTCACATTCCCTCAGTTCTATACCTTTGCATCCAATTAGCAACTTCATTAGTGTATGCACTGGGCTGGAAAAATGAATGAATGAAATTTGGTCAGTGATCCAAATGTAAACAAAGGCATATTACCACCATCAATTGACATGTCTTTTTTATGTGGACTAACAGGAACAAGAACTAAACAGTCCAGTATTTTAAAACAAACACCACCACTGTTCATCTCCTGTGTGAAACCAAAAGCAAACAATGTCTTTGAAGTAATGGGTTTAAATTACGTCAGGTAGCTTTTACGTGACATAACTTACAACAATCCCCAGTCTTAACCATGTAGTTTTTGTGCCTAAGCTGGGACCTTTTCCCCAGTGCCTGAATTGGACCAAGCACAACCCTATGCCTAAAAACATCATAACCCTAAACCTAATTCTTCTAGTGTTTTTTAGCCTTTTTAAAAAGTACATTTTCAGTGCTGTTTTAGCGTTAAAGTAGCTATGTGTTTACATAGAGACGCTGTTATGCAGGTGTGTAGGAGTACCTCAACAGCACTGCTGTACACAGGATTATAGACATATAACTTGTCTAGACTTGTGGGGTTTTACTTTTACTTTAACTTAAATCAACAAACTGCAACTTTCTTGACTCACAGAATTATCTTTTAAACATCATATGTGTAATTAATGTGAAAATTCAAACTGGATAAAAAAAAATTATCTCTCTCTTGCCATAATATGTTTTCCATAATAAGCTTCCATGGTGGTCCATCCGAAGGAGAAGGACTTCACCTCTTTATATTAAGTTTTGTAGATCATTGTGTTCTATAAAGTCTCATCCAGTGGCAACTCTGACTGGTTTTCCTGTTGTTTTTATTTCTTGAACACAGCATGGAGGAGACGGTGCGAACACTACTACAGAACCAGGACTCACTGGAAGGGCCCAAGGTGGACCCACTGGACCTCATGAAAGCCTATAAGGTACAAGAGGGGCCTCCTGGCACTACTAGATATGTTTACACTAGATGATGTGATTTGTTGTTGTTGCTGTGAAAAAAAAATATGATCGTTTAAGCACTTTTTTTGCACTAATGTAATACAGAACTGTGATAAGAAAATATGTAAGCAATTGATTTTTTTCACTTTTCACTCAGCCAAATTGCAGATATAACACTTTAAAAACCATGCGAATGATTTACCATTAAATATAGTATTGATCTCACCTTGAAACTGATATGAAGTGCTTTTTCAGATGGCTGCTTCATGTTTTGAGTCAGGTTTATAATATGCTCTGTCAGGATTTTGATATAAGTGGCAGGATTATGTTTCTTCGTGTGGGTTGTAAAGTGTTTCTAAGAAATTATGAAGGAGGGATTGTCTGGAGACGCTCTACATGGTTTCATGCATCTTAATATTCATCCATGAAGTGTGTAGGGTAGGGAATGAAATGGATACACTAGAAGGGCTTTATTGAGGGTTTTTTTAATATTAATAATTTTACAATGTATTCTTACCCACAAATTGTTAACCCTCTAATTTACTGTGTGGGGACCTGCTTTGTGTCCCTAGATGGTAATGCAGTCCCCACAATGTTACTGCGAGGACAGATACTTGTCCTGGGCCACATGCAAGTCACACACCAGCTTTGATGTAGTTTATTATTTGTGTTAGTGTGGATGAATGTGGAAAAGAACTAATGAACCGTATACCAATTGCAAACAAGGCTCATAATTCATAATACTAATTAGTTAGGGGTCTTATGTAACTCAATCTTATCTGTCTCCTATCCTTTTCATGCTGCCATCCATCTTCCTCTTTTTTTTGAATCAAGGCTTTTTAATATTTGGTTTCGGCATTTCTACACTAATCATTAATGCAAAGTGCTAAATAATTCAACATTACATTACAGGCCGGTAAAAACCAGACAAACATTTCAGCAGCTAATCTCATGCAAACAAGAATGAAGCTCCAGTCAGAGAAAAGGAAATATTAGAACACATGTATAATACTGACAAGCAATATCACCACATTGAGTATTCATTTAGAAAACAACTCATGCCCAAAATATAGAATAGAAATGAACCATGTTCCACAGTATAAAAGCACAATATGGTCAATCTTTACATTATATTACGCCCTTGATGAAAGTGCGGTCTACAGCATCAGACATTAGAGCATACGAGTACCTCCATACAGCTGATTGTGATTATCTGCCTGCATTAGGAGCAAAACCTGAAGGACTCTCATCCTCCATGTCCACTGAGCTTTATGCATCTAAACAATACATGCTGGTTATGTTGAATATCTACTTAAGCGAAAATACTGGTGCAATACAGAGTCCATTTATTTCTGTCTCGTTTGAGTTTCCCATAATATTTTTGAACTGGATTGTGCACATTTGTTTTTGACAATTTTATACTCAAAACAGAAACAAACTTAACACATCGATTGGATGAGATAGGTGTGTAGGAGATATGAGTAGATCAAAACTTGCAAATAAAATTTCATACACTGTCTAGTGGAGGTACCCCTTTTCTATCATTGAGCGAACAGACAACCCCTGACTAAGTGACACATTTTATGGTTATTACTGAGGTTTGTATAAAACGAGCAGATAATTTCCTGTGACTATTTATCAGTAAAGAGTTTGCCTGATATTTTAAGGTCTGTATTATGAGTTTTTTGTTTTAATACTTTTATGATGCAGGGCGAGGCTGTTTATCAGAGAATGAATTCTCAGATTAAGACCTAAACACTGAAAACCTGAACACAGCTATATTCACAGTGTGCAAACTATATCATGGCTTGCAGGGGAGCTCACTTTTAGTAGATTGACCATGACTTACAATATGCAGACTACAAAATAGAGGAATGACTCTGACTAGGAAAGTTCATTTTATGTATATTTTCTGAAGTGAAGTTAATGATATTGTGCAGCTTAAATGGTGAACAGAAGTATTAGAGTGAATTAGTGATGAATCACCCTTGTGCACAAATCATACATCAAAAGTAGCTTAAATTTACTCATAATCCTTGACGAAGAATATACAGAAAAATAGAAATGCAGGGCAAAAATAGCATATTGTCAATAATTTAGAGACCCCTCAAAATTTTACAAATTATGTTTTCATGGGAGCTCATGTCTTATTAAGAGGAGCCAAGCTCCCCCTGCTCCCCTGTAGTCCGCACCCTGATCTCAATAAAAAATTAAACATTAAAAATAAAGATTTCATTTAATTTTCTTTACAGAAATGAACAAAATGCTGAGATATAGGCCTTCTGTGTACACTTTTAGAGTAGTACTACTACTTTTCACCAGTGAAAACATGAGCCAATCTGTGATGAGGAAATGACAGGAAAGGAAGTGAGGTAGGGTAGAGGAAGGAAGAAAAAAAAAAATATAAGAGGAATCTACTACCATCACTTTCTTGTAAATGCATATGACTTTCAGATCTTACCCCCTCCCACAGAGCTCAATACCACCTCAAGCTTTTTCCTCAATGCTGCTGCTCTCTGTCAATAAAAACATCCAGCTTTATAAAGCGTGTGCCTCATCTCATGAACCTTTCATACTCCTGCACTTAACAGTTGAACCGAGCAGACACAGAACAGCACAAGCATCCTGCTGGAGTCCTTTTTCTGGCCACCTGTTGAAGGAAAGTCCAACATTTGTCTGTTTTTGGTTTGTTAAATGTTAAATGTTCCACTCTCTTCACCTGCCACTTATTAACTTAGTCTCTTTGACATTTCACACTGGGCAGGAAGTGCGCACCTAGCTTGTCTGAGCTTGTCAGCCAGGGAGACTGTTTCCTTACAAGTGACCCCTCGCAGCTGTGAAAATCTCTTAACAAGCAAAGACAGAAGTAGAGTGATGTTCTAAACAAACCATAGTATGACTTTAAGTCTGGACATAGCAGGTTGTGTCCTCCTAACAACAGTCTGTGATGTTTTAGTTGTCTATACTTTACCAGAACTGAATTATAAAAGGGGTGGATCAACCCCTCAATGCTAATTAATTAATTAAGTAATGCTTTTGGATGTTGTCATATTGGTCATTTTAGAAGACACTTACACTTAAATTGTCATATAAAATTTCAAAAGCTGGTATTCAAATTAAAATTCCAACAAATACATTGTCACTCTGCTGCTCTGATTCTCTTTCTTTAACAGAAGTAATGTTTTTATACTCAAATTAAATTCTTCTTTGCCATACTGCTGATCGATCTGTTCAGCTACTAAAATCAACACCTCCTGATGTTTGTTCACATTAAAACTGCCTGTAAAAGGAAAGCTGCAGGACTTTCGTAGCAGTGCATCAAGCAACACAAGCCACGCTCTGACTGGTTTTTACTAGGGCCCCCGACTAAAGATTTTCCTGGTCGACTAGTAGTCGTTAGATAAAGCCGACTAGTTGTTGCATGTTTATGATATTAACTTAACTTAGTTATTTAAATATATATATATACAGCCGCCTGTTAAACGCTAACAGAAGTGGTAATGAATCAGAACATGTTGGGACAAACAGTAAGGAGACTGAACATTTAGTTCATTTATTTAAACAGTATAACAGTCAGCTAATACAGTTAGCATATGCAACAGTGCACCGCTAAATGACTCCCTGTATTACAAGAGAAAACGTCTGCATTGCAACAGTCCCCTGGTACTTTAGTGCGTCGACCAAGACTCTTCTCATCGACTAAGGGTTACATCGATTATTAGGGGGCAGGCCTAGTTTTTACCTTAAAATTCACTTTGTCCAACTCTGTGGGATTTTGGTGCCATTGTTGGGTGGGATGAGTGTCAAAACAGTTCCAGTTCATTCCAATGAGGCACTGTGCAAGTTGTCGGTACTTCAGTGGAAAATGTAATGTAGAAAATCTAGGTTAATTTCTCCAGTCAGTTCCCTTGACCAAGGCACTGGCTCAGATCTGGAGTTGGTCCCTGGGTGCCTCATGGTGGCTCCTATTTTTGTGGGTCAAATGCAGAGAATTAATTCCTCTACAGGGATCAATAAAGGTTAACTAACTTTAGAAAAAAGGATAGACTTTGTGCTGTCTGATCCTTGTGCAGCTGCCACTCTGGTGATTTTATGAACAAGAACAAACTGAATAATGCTGCAAATGTAAATAAACCTTGGTAATTTATCATATTTCAACCAATAGATAGGCATCTTACAGCATTAAGTGGTCTGCCTTCATCTATAAATAAATATGAGTCATTCTTACAGTATTTGTTATCCACAGCTGCTAAAGTTTCTCTTTCGGTTCATAGAATTCAGATCTGTGAACCAAAGTAATAAGGCTACCATCTGCAAAAGTCATGTTACTTTAAAAAGTCACACTTTCTGGCACATTAAGGGGTCATTTGATTCAGTGTTAATAATTACCGTATGGGTTCATTAATCTTTGAAGTGAGACATTGGAAGTTTTATTTATGCAGTACTAATGTGTTAAGATTTATTGCTATTATAACTGGAGCCCACTTTGATAAGGAGAATTTATTTTTCATTTCTTTGTGACTTTAAGGCGTTTTTGATCCACTCTCTCTCTCTGCGTTTCAGGACAAACTGCTGGAGGAAATGTGGAAGCAGCAGGATAGTCTGGAGGGTCCCACAGCCACCGCAGCACAGATGCCTGTGTCGCCTGAGGCCGGCGGAGGGTCGGAGGAAAATTCAAAGGACAGCAATCCCCTGCTAGAGCGACTCAGAGCCCTGGAGGTAAAGTGGATTGCATGGTCCACTTCTTACCCTTCCCCCAACTGTTCCCTATTTCCCCCATGTTCCAGATCCATGTGTCCTTTCCTTTCATCCCTGAAATGTATGACTGATCGATATATTAAGAGCATGTTTTATTTTATTAAATGTATTCCACTTGATATCTATAGAGACTTGAAGTAAGTAAGCTCAAGGACAGCACACAAGGGCTGAATATTATTGTACATGATGGTTTGATCACTGCAGGTTTTTGTTTCTTTCTTATTTAGGAAGGATTATGGGGTAGGTCGCTTGTTAAAAGCATGGCAGTAGTTCACCCCTTTGATAATTAGTTTATCGATCTGCGTAACAGTCAGAGTCACTTTTTTCCCCTCAATTTCGCTGTAGCACAGGTCAGCAATTTGTGGCCTTTGATCCAAATCTGGCCCTCTGCTAGAAGTATTTGGCTCGCTCAGTAAAATCGTAATTTTTTCCTTTCTGGCCCTCATCAAAACCTTTCAGGCACATTGCAGAGATTTGCTGCACACCATTGACAGTATATATAGTGGACAGCTTAGGGTCTGTGAAGTAAAGCCAATGCTGAAGTGTCTTAAACCTGCATTATATGTAATGGCCAGCAGGGGGCAGCTTCATTGGCTACAATAAAAAATGATAGCATGCAGTCTTATGGAGAAATGAGCCAACTTCTCACTTGATTGTATTAGCCTCAGTAAACAGTTTTTCTAATGAGTTTATGGTCTCAGTCTCTAGTTTCAGGTCATTGTTTTTTTTTTCTCTTTTTTTTTTTTTTTTTTTTTTTTTTTTTTTTCCCTTTCTTCTCCATACAGCATGATGTTCGTTTAGTAAATGATGGTCCCATTTAGAGTAAAATAGACAATAAAGGGGGTTATACTTTAGGGTGTGGCTACCCTGTGATTGACAGCTCATTCTCAGTGAGTCCGTCCAGCTTAACGCACCAAACTTAGATCAAACTGTCAAACTAGGCAGTGCTCATCAGATACGAATCCAGATTCTGTTACTGTATCAGAAACACATTTTAGTATACTTTATAGCTGTAATAAGAGATTGTGTGTGACCAGTTGAGCCGCCCAACTCGCAGTACATCACCTCCACTGGATCCAACAAACAGTCATAGCAACGACCACAAGACCAAACTCAAAGCTTCAAAACGGTACTCCACAAACCGATGGGTGATGTCATAATAGGACACACATGCTGTAGACCCCTTGCTACAGCATGAAATTGCTATTTTTGTGGAGTCAGACTGGGTTTCTTGGTGGACATTGCTAGCTGAGGGCTAGGCTATTTCAAATAATAATAATAAGGAAATCATTATAAATAAAAATAATTCAACAACTGCCCAAGGTAAATACGTAATGAATCCCTCAAGAACACTGCAACATGAAACCTGTCAGTTATTGTGTAGTCTGCCTGGGTTCATTTGAAAATGCAAGTGAGACATAAAAAAGTACAATCACTGTTTCATCATGGCTCTATCCATCTTTGAATATTAAGGAAAATGAGACCCCATTATGCTGAACAGCAGTCCGAGGGGCAAGAACAAAAACACAGCAAAAGACAAAGGAGTTATTCATATCCAGGAGGTGATAATTAAAATGCTGACAGGGTAGTTATCAGTGTTCCAGTGAACGTACAGTACGGCTCTCTGTCACACCTTCCCCACTGAAAAGGTAATAGGACTTACCATCTGTTGAGAGGTCTCAGACAGCCATTATTGATCACACTGCTATACAGCAAAGCCTAGCCTAAAGGTAAAATCTACCTAAAGACAGAATTCACTAATTCTGCTCTGCATGTTTTGTTTCATAGGATGCAGTGTGATTTTTGTCATGTTTTTAATGTAGACCAGTGGTTATCCCCCACACCCTGTCAGAGATTTCTATTTCACTATTATTTCACTGACTCAAAAGTAACAGAATGAGAGAATATATAAGAATGTTCAGAGGTTTTAGTTATGGATCATCAAAATCTTATCACAGATTATCCGTGAGAACAACTTCTTATCAAATATCAAAGATTTGTATCAATTGGAGGTCCTTGGCACAAAAAGGTTGAGAACTGCTGAACCAAAGTCCCCCTTCCTCAACACCACCCGTCATGTTCTAAATGTGTTCATTTGAATTTATTTTAAACCCAACTTTTTACAACTGAACTGTACATTTTTAGGTCAGTTTACCATTTATTTCAATGAATAACAAAGCAATAAATAATAAATAGGTTGGCAAGATATAGACAAGAGAAAATAAAGACAAAAAAACAAAAACAAAGCCATTAACTTAAAGCATGTCTTTCATGATTCAAATACTTTTAGCTAACTATTTAAGGTTTTCAATCACTTTTAACAATACTTTTTAACTATTTTAACTGTTAATCCATTATGTTAAGATATTTATCAATTATTTTTCGCTCTCTATTTAACCATTTAAACATTACTATTAGAAGTTATGGATGAATAGTTAATACAATAAGTTAGCTATCCAAATCAACCATTTATTCACTTCTCTGCTTTCCTATGTAACGTTAATGTTCAGGTGTTACAGCAAGCTCAGTAAGTTGGTATATACACACAAATAGTTGAGCTTCTCTTCTCAATCTTTCCAAATACCCCGTTGGCAACTGCAGAAGTACTCCCTGAGGTACAAGTGGTTGGGAATTAGTAATGTAGACTACTTTCTTCATCTCATTTATTTAATTAAAAATATATATGATTAATAATGACAATTGTGCTATACGTTTTCATAATCACACTTGTACAAAGTAAAACCAGAATGTGGTGAATTTGCTATAAAAAACTCATTTTTGGCTCACCGGGAGTGAACTTGTTAAACCCAGAAAAAGTATTAATTATTGTTGGTACTGGTGTTACTGTAGGTGGTGTGAGGTGAGAGCAGATGTGAGCAGGGATGGTTATTGGATGTCACACCTTACTGCTGATCTCCGGAGATGTTGGGGCTGCAATGGCTCAAACATTACATGTCTGCATTAACAATGAAGAATTACTGAGTTAAATACTGTGCTGCTTCATTGTGTGTCAACATGCTTCCAGTTGGTTGATGAAACATATTCATTTGTTGTGTATTATTCATGTAGGTTAGTAGTCACCAATTTAGACTGAATACTGGAGAACTTAATGAAATACATGGAAATTTCATGAAGCTCTGCACAAAAACACCATCATCTGTCAAACATCAGATTTGACTGAGTTATGACTCAGAAAGACACCCTCCTCTATTGATCTATAGCAGATATACTGCGTTGAAAACCTGAGCACATACAGACAAAAATGTCAATTTTAAGAATTTTAAATTGCACAAACACAAACATTGTGCAACAGAGTACAACCCACAAGCAAATTGATGAGTAGCCCGGATTATGAATACGTGTGCGTACTGGGGTCCATAAAAAGTATTGGAACTATGTAAATTGGGAATGACTAGAAAGCTGAGACACACACTTTATGCCACCCCTACATAAGTCAGTGCCGCTCTTGTGCCACCCCAGTCCCAGTGACCAAATAGACTGGGAGGTGTTCAGTATTTAAGTAGATTATTACATGCAGGATCTGTATGCATGAACTGCTGAGCTTTAATGTTGCATCCTGCATCCTGGTAACGTAATATTAATTGTGTGCACGTTCAAGTAATTACCAGCATGAATGCGCACTGAATTATTGGACATGATTGGACATAATTTCAGTAATATTTTATTTTCTGTGATAATACTACTGTCTAGTACTTAAGAAAGCCTGCATAACCACTGTCATTAGTGATGATCTTTTAAAATAAAGTGCAGCCTTAAATTACATCAATTTTCTTGTCTAAGTGTTTTGACCCTAATGGATAACTCTGAGTGTATTTTGTGGCTTTCATGGTGGCTGCCTTTATTCTATCCACATTTGTAATTAAACTTTAACGCTGAACTGGAGAAACATTACAAGATTTTCCATTTAGTTGGAAACTGCTTTCCAGTCATTAGGGCACACTTGGGTACCTTTCATACAACCTACCATGAAAAATGAAAAAAATTAAATAAACTAAAAATGCTCTAAGAATCAGAAGATAAATAATAAAAATAAACTTTCTGTGCTCCTTGACTGAGGAGAAGTCGCTGACTCCTCTCAGCTCCTCAACCAAACACTGATTGATTCGATGCTCGCCGCAGATCAACCATGTTAACTGCACAAAAATACGGATGAGGGAGCAGGGCGGTAAGCACGCTGCCAAACATTTACATCTTTGCAAGTGATTTATATTTACATTAAGGATCATTTTGCAGATGTAATACATTATGCAGATGCAAAAACATCTCACTTTCGTTTTTCTAAATTAAGATTTCAAGCCTGAATACAATATTTATCAACATATTAAAAACTGATCTTTGTTTTAATTGCATTTTTCTTATACTCTTAGCCAACTATTTAAAAATTTAAACCATTTATCCATTACTTTTAGCTTCTTGAACAATGTATCCACTACTTTTGGCTTCGTCACCAACTTCTTATCCATTAGTTAAGCTAATAATCAATTAGTTTTAGCTTTCTATTTCTCCATTTAAGCATTATTATTAGAAGGTATGAGCTATGGTTATGGGGTATTAGGACGGGTTAAATGCAGAGGACAAATTTCACCATACATTGTACTGTGTATTATTGTATATGTGACTATAAAGTTCTATTTCCTCTTCTAAATAGTTGAAATACAGTAGGTTGGCTATCCATTCAATAATACACAATACATTATCCAGATGCAAAAACAGCTTTTTCATTTTTCTAAATTAAGCTTTTAAGCCTGAATACAATATTTATTAGCATATTAAAAACAGATTTTGTTTTAATTGCCATCTGCTGTTTCACATGTTAATCAATCAAGCTAATTTGTACTGTACTGTCATATAACGTACATAAGTGTGAGCTCACATAACACATACTATATAAAGGTTCAAACACTTAAAGTTCAGTCTCATAACTTGGACTTCCCTGACCTTTCCGCACACAGACTGCAAGCCTTCAGGCTGATATGTGGCCTTTGAAACACTGTCTTTTCTTAGGAAGGAGTTTTAGGACAGAGTCAGAGCAATCCATACGCTTGTGTCGTTTATTGTTTCATTCTCAGGATATTAATCAGTATCATTTCAGCAGCCAGTCATTGAAAAAGGTTAAAATACTGTGGTGACTATCCTTGGCTATCATCTTGGGTTAGTTTGAAGACATTGTTGGCTTTGAACTCTGCTCACTCCTGTGATTATCAGCTATTTCTGGGATGTTCTGTGTTCAAAGGAGTTGCCCACAGCACTTAAGTGAAAACCAGCCATCACAGATAGCCTGGACTTTCAAGATTTACTGGATTAATCATTTCAGTGGAAAGTCACCTCCTGAGTTCCCAGAATGGTTTGTGTTTCCTGCCTTGCAAAAAAAGAACCCCTGTCAGTAATTGAATTATGCCAGGGATACTTCAAGCGAGCCCTACAGACACCTCGAATGCCGGAAATTTAAAGCATCTTTCATTAAGAAGTCTTCATTCTCCAGTGAACCTTCAAACCCTACAGTGCTGCAGGGAGAGGGCCCCTTTGAGCCATCTCTGCATCTCTTTCCCCGTCTTTCAGAAGTAATTACTGTAATTCATGCTGTTGTCTGTGTTTTGTCTGTTTAGGCGGAAAACTCTGCTCTGTCAATGGAAAATGACAATCAGAGGAAGCAATATGAACGCTGTCTGGATGAGGTGAGTGTTCCTGTTCTCTCAGCACTTTCAACATCAAACACGTCCTGTGTCATGTAAAGTACAGCGTGTACCTTAACTGCTTTCAATGTTGAAGTATCATACTGAACAACACCCAAGTAGCAACTGCTGTTTAGCCCTATTGAAATGCAAGAAATTATTATTTTTCTGCCAAAATAATTGCTTTTTTGGCAGCCACAACACGCTCGAAAACTCATGAAATGCGGCACCAAATTCAGTAGTGGCAAAAATGTCCACATTATATGGGTCTTATTTAAATTCAGAGCACAGCAGCGTTGTTGTTGCATTAGCCTAGTTTAGTTCTTAACACTTTTTGTCTCATTTGTTTGATTCATGCTGTTCAAAAACGTTGTGGTTTTTATGGCAGGTTTTGTGCTGGACTACTTGTTTGACTTTTATATATATATATAT